GTAATTACCATGCCATGATCACAAAGTTGTGTTTTGTCAGGTTGGGCCCTGAATGGGTGGCAGCATAATTCCATGCTGCTGGTAGGAGCACGGTGCAGCTGTGCAAAATCAGAATGTTTGCTGTTGTTTATTGTTTAAGGCGTCATTTTCCCCTCTAACAGCCTAATGAAGGGATGTTTACTCCATTTGCATGGGTCCACCGACTCTTGCAAGCTTGACTTTTAATTGACCTAGTGAGGTGAAATAAATCAACAAACTGAGATTTTGCCCTTTACATTAAAAAATGTGCGTTCTTAAGTGTTTATAACTATTTATATAAATCCTACAAGGTTGCATAACATTGACATAGGGAATTATACTTATATATGTTACATTGAATTACCTGATGAATTCTTAAGGGGTTTCACCTATAACACTATATGTGAAAAAACATAGCATCACATCCAGTTTAATTACTACAATTAAAAACATAAATTTTACAAGCACTTAGGAGTGGCAACAGAAGGTCCCTAACCAGTCAGGGACCAACCGATTCATTGTTAGAAGTAAAGTTAGTGTGCCAGCAACAAACATAGACTAAAACTGAAAAGTTAGAAAAGCAACTAAACACTAAGTAAAATAAATGAAACTTTTATGATGTTTTGAATGTAGTCTGTTTCAAGCCCTGACAAGTAACAGAGTGTTCTTTAAATGAATCATGAAAACTACCTTTGTTTCATAAGCTAGACCTAAGAGAATGTTCTCATGGACTCTGAGATACTGTGATGTTCATGTACCTAAATGAGGATGGTGATTGGAGGGACAGGCTGCTAATGGCCACAGAGTCATAGGAGAGCCAAGAATTGTAGGCATGGGAATGCCACTGCTTAATGGGCGAGGAAACTCAAGTCTATTCATAAAGGAGACAGAGATGCAGGTCAGCCCACCTGGACCCGGGGTCCTGGGCCTCAGAGCAGCGCCCTCTTTTGTTATCTCATACAACCTCTCATCAAAATCAATCAATCAATCAATCAATCAATCAATCACCTCTGGGTAGATGTTTCTCTATTCTGGAGAGAGACATAGCATTTTCAGCTCAGGAGGTTTTCATCATAAGGATCTAGGGAACTTTATGAGGTATGGACAAGTTTGAAAATACAGAGTTTGGTTTTGTGGTTGATTAAGAGGCTCTAAGGATAGAAAGATCGAGGGAACTGGCTAGGAAGAGAAGGAGAGGCATGGAAGAAAGATAAGCAGCGTGTGGGGAGATAGAGATATGGCACAGTGGGAGAGAAAAACCGCAGAGGAAGAGAGAAAAGGGAGGATAATGGCAGGCAGGGAGACAGAAAGGCCCCGTGAGTTTAGATTGCTGATCAGGGCTTGTGCTGTGCGATGTTTACAGCTCTTCACCTGCTCAGGAACTTGTGCCTTTGAGCCCTCACTTCTTATCAGGTAACAGGCAGAGCATTCTGCCAAGGGAGAATCAAAAAATTTAAGCCACAGAAACAATCGGAGCTCATCTTTAGAAAATCAAATCGACAAGCCACATCCTTCCTCTGAGTTTCTCTACCCTTGCTTTGAAGAAAGGGCATTGCATTTCAGTCTATCTTTTACTGTGAGGTTTGTAATCAACACTGGATTTCTTATAATAGCAAGTTCTTGATCAGTAAAGAAGATATTTTGAAATTTAACTCTTATGACCTCTCCTCATTTGAGACACATACTCTACAGAAAGGAAAAGTCACTCTCAGTCATGAGTGTGAAATCATTTAAGACAAAGGGTGACCTACAATGACCGTGACATAGCATTTATGCTTTTAGTAATGACTTTTATAAGAAAGCAAGTCACACTAAGCCCTTCACCACAAACATGAGATGTTCGTGTCACATTGGAATCTGTTCTCGCTCTTTCTGGAAAACCTCTCATCTGATATTATAATCAGTTGAAAAACCATTTATGTTCTTCACATCAGTGTGAGATGTGATATCCCAGACGGCGTACATTCATTTTATGTTTTATTTGTAGCCAAAAGTGGGTTAGCCTTCCTGTTTATTATTTATATTGACAGTTCATATAGCCTGCATAAATGTTACTGCACTTACAATCACATTGTTTAATGGAGAAGAGATATTCAGATTCATCCCTGGAATTTCCTCATCTGTAATATTTTCATTAGTTTTGCCTGACCCTACTATTGCTGCGAAATTTTGTTTTTATGTACATATAGTAAATTGTCACCTGTTTACAAGGTTTGGACAGGGGGTCAGTGGCATCAGAGATACATGCTCTGAGGTGCCTGTTATGTGTAGGTACAGTGCTCAAGAGAGAAAAGGTGGGAATAACAGTTCTTGGCCTTAGAGGCTTATAATGCACTGGAGAAGATAGACATATGCATGAGGAAAAAAATTTTATGCTACCATTTATTTACTAAACACTGGTATACCTTTCATCTTAGTTTTCTTTCAGTAATTGGAAACCAAACTTAGGAGAAAAAGTATTTTCTTATTCTACTCAGAATAAGTACGAACAGAGCTCATAAACTCTCTCATTTAATTGTCAGACTATTGCCTTTGAAGTAGATACTATTATCCTCATTTTCTAGATTTAGAAATTGAGGCTCAGAGAATTTAAGTTGCTCAATCATTGTAACTCTTCTTTATTTTGTAAAAATAGACTTTTCTGTCTGCGATGAAGTGTGAATGTATATGCTTAAAATATTTCTGTGACTCTGTAATTGAAAAACTCCCAATTCAAGTGTGCTTATTGGCCATATTTGAAATACTTCTTATATAGTCCATCTATATTTTTCTCATAAATTTGACTTATTTTCATTTGAGAGGATACTTGGTTTCCAAATGGAGAAATAATTTTAACTTATAGGAGTGGATACACCAGAGACATGCAGAAATTGGTGTGTATCTTAAAAGAGAGTTTTAATTATAAGGACCGCTTAAATCTAAAGCTGTTCCCTTTGGTATAAGCCAGCAATTTTCAATCTTTTTCATCTCATGGCATATAAACTAATTACTAAAATCCTGCTGCACACCAAAAAAGATATTGTAGTTTTTGCTGCTATGGCAGAAAAAAAGTGTAATTTTGATTTATTTTGATTCATTCACACCAGATGGCTAATGTTGTATTGGCTATTGCCATTTTTTTTTTTAATGTAGCAATCTAAGGAACAATTTAGTCAGTGTTCCTGACTAAATAGTCAGGTATTACATGTTTTAAAAATTCTTGCAGCACACAATTAACATGGCTGATACAAGCCATTTACTTTGTGAAATGTGTTTTTATTAAAAGTGGTGTTTTGGGTGAATTTCTTGAAGTTCTGTGAATCTCAGCAAAAAACATTATAGGGGGAGATCACATAAGAAGATGGCTTGCTTCTGTATATCAGAATAAGGAATACTAGGTCAGCAAGAAGGACTGTTAGAGCAGCAATACCTTAAAGAGAGGTACAAGGAAAAAAGGGATGTGGAGAAAAAGAATATCACAGACATATACACATATACACTGATATACTATATCCACACAAACCTAAACATAGATACTTTGCTTTTTAGGCATCGGATCCTAATAATTCCATTTATGTGTTTTCTGGTTATATACATTAGCACTACTAGATCTTTTGTCAGCCGTATTCTTGAAAAAAAAAAAAAGAATTGATTCATTATTTATCATTCATCAAACCCTCACAATAGATAGGTTCTGTGCTCAGTTATAAGAATACAACAACAGAGAAGATAGTCTTTGTCCTCAAGAGCACCCAGCCTCCTGTGGGAAAGGTGTTATTGCAGGGGTATGATGAAATTGGAGAGACAGTCACAGAGAATTCCTAGAGGAGGGATATCATGGAGGATCGCTGGAGGAAGTGATGCCTGAGCTGAGTCTGGAAGAGCAAGCAGCAGTTAGTCAAAAGGAAGTGGGGAAAGTGGAGCCCTTCCAGTACACAGCGTGAAGAAAGACCAGGAGCTTGAGACAGAATACACGCTGGGATGGCTGGAACGTAGTGATGAGGGACAGATGAGAGGTGAGGGTGGAGAGGTAGGCCAGATTTAACTGGACTAAGGGCTAACTGGACTTTACACTGCTATTAACAGGGAGCCTTTGTAGGGGAGAAAGCAGGGCAAGGTCAAGTTTTATCTTAATGGATCATTCTGGTGACTGTGTGGACAATGGGCTTTAGATAGACAAAACCAGAGTTTGGGATCCAGTGAAGAGGCTGATGTAAGAATGCCGGCAGGAGATGCAGAGGGTTTGAACCAGCATCATAGTTCAAAGGGTAATGGGAACAGGGCAATGGTGGCAGAGGGCTTACACATGTTTAGGAGGTACAGTTGGTTAAGTAAGACCAAGAGCTTATTTGGATTTGGATGGATGGATTGATCAGGATTTTTTCAGAGTTTTATTTCAGGTGGCTGGGCCTGGGGGTGCAGAGGGCCCTAAATCTGGTGGAGCAGGAACAGGAACTGGTGTGGCCAGTTGGAGGTGTGTTTAGTTTAAGTTTATCTAGGAAGATGTGATCAGCATATTGGTTATTTTAGTCTAGAGTAGGGGTGTCGAACTCAATCAGAGAAGGGGCCAAAATCTAAAATCCAGCCTAAATCGCGGGCCGAATGGTTTACTGAACAGTCATAAACTGTCATTGTGATGGAAACGCAGTGGAGTGCAGTGATGACAGGGCAGTGCGGGCCACATTGCAAGGCCTGGCAGGACGGATTTGGCCCGCGGGCCTTGTGTTTGACACATGTGGTCTAGAGCTTGAGAAAGAGGTTTTTGGTGGCAAATCTGGGAGCTGCCAGATGTATTAATAGGTGTATTAATTTGAATATTCAGCCTCTTCTGCATACATTGTTGTTTTCTCCTGACATTTCTTAAAGCAAAGATTCAGATCTCCATAAATACATAATACTAATAATTTACCTTCTTATTGTGCATAATAACAGAGTGATCCCCTAGAAGAGAACATGCTTTAGGAAAAGTACAAGTAACCAGATCGTTGTTGGTTTTTTCCCAGTGTGGCCATGGAAATGCCTGCCCCAGAGGGATGTCACTTTAGCTGACCTTCCACGGCTCATTGTGTTGAAGACTCTGACTCCACAGCTGTGTTCAGTTCAAAATGGCAGAAAAGGCTCCCCCGGGGCTAAACAGGAAGACTTCAAGGTCAACACTCTCTCTTCCACCAGAACCTGTGGACATCGTCCGGAGCAAAACGTGTTCACGGAGAGTCAAAATCAACGTGGGGGGCCTGAACCACGAGGTTCTGTGGAGAACGTTGGACCGGCTGCCCAGGACACGCCTGGGGAAGCTGCGCGACTGCAACACGCACGAGAGCCTCCTGGAGGTGTGCGACGACTACAACCTGAACGAAAATGAGTACTTCTTCGATCGGCATCCAGGCGCCTTCACTTCCATTCTGAATTTCTACCGGACAGGGAAACTCCATATGATGGAAGAGATGTGTGCTCTCTCCTTCGGCCAGGAGCTAGATTACTGGGGCATTGACGAGATCTACCTAGAGTCCTGTTGCCAAGCCAGGTATCACCAAAAGAAAGAGCAAATGAATGAAGAACTGAGGCGTGAGGCAGAGACCATGCGAGAGCGGGAGGGAGAAGAATTTGATAACACCTGCTGCCCCGAGAAAAGGAAGAAGCTGTGGGACTTGCTGGAGAAGCCCAACTCCTCGGTGGCTGCAAAGGTAAGAAAAGCGCGGCCTTGCTTTGCGGTGTGCGGTCAGGGAAGGTGCTGCTGGCGTTCCAGAGGGGTGATTTTCTTCCTTGAAGTTGTCTGGGTAAGGCAGAACAAAACATGGCTACAGGGACGGTGAGGGATTCTTTCCAAAATCCTACTTAGTCACGTAGCATTATTCTGCCTGTGTAATGTCATCAAGTGGTGTTACTCTGTCACAGATGTCATTATGTCGGAAGAGTCTGGGCAAAGGGAATGGAGGAGTCTGAGTTCCCTGCGCTGTGTGTTGATGACTCGGAGGTCGAGGAGAAAGCCCTAGCTCAGATCCATCAGGCAGGGAGTCTTGCAGAAGCTGGGGCCTGGGCTCCGTCCTGCGGAAAGGTGAGGTGTTGTCTTTGAACATGGAGGAGGTGCCTCCTGGCCTGGTTCTCTAGAAGTCAGGGAAGGAGAGGACAGTAGCTTAGAGGGCTGGCGGCCCCTCACATGAGCCAAAGTCTGAGGTGTGTCTTATTAAGCTGTGTAAGGCATGAGTCAGTGTCCAGATGCACCCATTGACCTCTCCTTGTGTGTCTGTTCTGACAATGATGTTTCTGACATTGGGGTAACAATTCTTTCCACAATTGAGATATTTCAGAGTTCATAAAGTGTTCGCCAAAAATGAAGGTAAGTCCATATGTTTCCACTGTGCCTGCATACATCCAAATCTCAGAGTAAATGTGTTGTTGGTTTTTGCCAGTAATATCAGTATTTAATTCAACAGGGTACTTCTGTTTATCTAATTTTATTTACACTGATTTTTATCCTACATATTTAGTTTTACATTGCAATATAAATTATGAGTAAAAAGTCAAACGACTCGTCTTCAGCTGCAGAAATATAGTATTGATATTTTGTATGAAAATAGAATATGGCATAGAGAAAAGAGTGTGTCCTCATATGAGTTATTTAAATTACTTACAGTTTCTTCAATTATCCTTTCTTATAAGGAGTAAATAATAAAAAAATATAAAAGTCTGTATGCACCTTTTGACTGGAAATTAGGGTTTCACATGATAACCTGCGACATATAAATAATGGAAGTAGATGACCATAAAATTTCTCATTTGACATGTCTGGTTTTGCATCTTGTTGACTTCTAAAGGCATTTTACTTTGCTAAATGAAATGAACTGTATTTCTGTCATACCTAATGAGGAAATGTGCATTTTGCGGCAAATGGAAAGTTTGTTATGAATCATTTGTTTCCCTGGTAGAAAGAAATAGATGCACTATATTTGTGGGGTTTGGTTTGAAGGTTACTGCTCTTTCCAATTTAAAATGTTTAGTTATGTATTTGAGTTACTTCTAAAAATATGGAGTGAATTTTGATGATGAATGAGATAAACTCTGGATTTAAGAGAGTATTTGGGGTGTTAAATTAATTCTTTCAAGTCTTTAGGCAATTGAGGGATAAATCATCATTCCACCAACTGTTCCAGAGGTGACAAATATGTGAAAATATGCAGCTAAATCAAAGAAAACTTGAAAGTTTAATGCAGTTTATTTGCTTATAACAGCATTATTAACATCTAAAATTAAGTACTGCTATAGAAAAATTTTTTTAAATATACACATATGTTTTTCTGAAGAATTTCTAGTAAAGATGGAATAGGGTCAATTACTTTTTTTCCCAGATGGGGCAGTTCATTAAATCTCCAAATTTTAGAAACAGCAGCCTTCTCTTAATAGCTAAGACGGTAATGTTGAGAATGGGTTATTATAATATATTATTATACACCTCTGTTATCAGACAGATTGCTAAACTTCCCAAATTATGTATGCACAGAGGAGACATCTACTCTCAAACTACACACAGCAGCTAAGGCCACGGGGTTAGAAATTTTTATGCAGTTATAAATAATAAATTTGTTTCCAGCCGAAACCGGTTTGGCTCAGTGGTAGAGCGTCGGTCTGTGGACTGAAAGGTCCCGGGTTCAATTCTGGTCGGGGTATGTACATTGGTTGGGGGCACATCCCCGGTAGGGGGTGTGCAAGAGACAGCTGGTCAATGTTTCTCCCTCATCGACGTTTCTAGCTCTCTATCTCTCTCCCTTCCTCTCTGTAAAAAATCAATAAAATATATTTAATAAATAAATAAATAAATTTGTTTCCAAATTATTAATTGAGCTAAGCAAATCTTTGCTAACCTAAGTAAAGTCTTCACTAAAATTTCCTAAAGGGTCTGTGTGTGTTTGAGTGTCTGCATTTTCCTCTCTGTGAATGTTGAAATAGTGTGGAAATTCTTTACATTTGATTATATGGCCTTTAGTGAAGGCATTGTTCATTTGTCTGAGGCTTGGAACCTTTTGAAAACAGCTCTGTGTGGTGCCTTCTCTGAATCACTACCTTTTCCTGTATTCTTCTCAAGTCCATAACTTGGTATTTCTACAGAATAATCCTTGGGGGTGCTAATGCAAGGTTAGTACGAATAGTATTTTTACAATTTATTATTAAATTGAACAATTGAAATAATCATTTTGTTAAAGCTGCAGTGGGATGATACACTAGCCCTTACTGTTAATAATATGGCCACATTAGGATCTTATGCTTATGAAGCTCTTGTATTGGGATACTTATAACTTCTGTATTTTCCTAACTTGCTTAGGAGGTAAGATTGGAGGAGAATTTACTTTGCCTGTTCAATAATTATTCATTCAGTTTGGTAATTTGGTTGAATATATATATATAGAATGTTCTCTGTGAATTGAAGACATTAAAATACAAGCAGAAAAACACTCCCTTCTCTTCAGAATTTAAAAATATATCCTCTTAACTTAAACAAGGATTTCATATCCTTGAAAAGATTTGTTTATTTTTCTTTTGTTTTTTTCTATATCTTATTATTTATCTATAATATCCCTGTAATAAAGAATAAAAGTTATGAAATTACTTGCCAATTTCCTAGCATAGAAAGAAAAACGTCATGTTTTCTATCAACCATTCCACAATAGGATAAAATAGCTGTTCATTAACATGGAATGAATACTCATTAATCAATTAAACGATAATTCTTCAGCCAAGCTCTGTGCATCCACTGTGATACCCAAAGCCACTGCAGGGCCCATGGTTGGTCATCCTCTGGCTTTGGCTGTGATCTTTGACAGTAACAATTTGGCTCTTACAGAACATGCTTCTTGATGTCACTTCTATGGATTGAACTTTCTGACATATTAGTAACTAAAAAAACAAAACAAAATGCTAAAACAGTGTTTAAAGTTCAGTGTATTAGAAATTACTGCATTAAACAAAATAACATTTTTACACATACACAAAGTACCATGGAATGTAATTGTATTTAATTTACATAATATACAAAATAATGACGGGCTAATAGAAATTGGTAGTGTATAATTTTCTGTGGTTTGGTATGGTCTGGCAGTGTGGCATGAGTTTATCTCTGTGTGAGAGATAGACTTGGACATTCAATCCTTGGGACTGCATGTGTGTTGTGTGTACTGTAGGTACACCCTCATGGAGAGGCAATGCAAAGAGTTTACACTGGGCTGGCACAGATGCAGGGTTGCCAGGACATGCCATTGCTGGCTCTGGGATACCTTTTCTGGGGACATGCAAGGGCAGAAGAAGGGCTTACCCTGCAGCCAGTTTCCTGGGCAGGGAGCTGGAATTTGACCCTGTAATGTCCCTCCAACCTGAGGCAATTTAGTCAGCCTCTGGATCGGACACATTTTCCCCTTTTTGTTGGCCTCTTCCCAAAGGAACTACAGCAACTGTCTGTAAATATTGCCACAGCAACATCAGGCCTCGAGATGTTGGAAAGGGTATCAGGCATTGGGTGCCATAAATGTGGTATTATCAGCCTCTGTGAGGAGAGAGCCACCAGGAAGAGCACAGCCCACTTGCTAGCTGAAAGGAGCTAGATCCTCAGTGTCATGCAGCACCCTCACTCTGCATCTCTGAAGAAGGTCAAGAACGAAGGAAGTCAACCAACCAGTTCTTCAATCCAATCCGGAGAGGAACCCAGACATGTAGGTGGTGGGCATGATGTTCAGGACAATGCCAGCCAAGAGGCCCATCACAAGTGTCAGGCCACGATGTTGGACTGTAAGCAGCTTTTATGGGATAAGCACCACATGAAGCAAAATCTGCCCAAAAACATTACGTTCATCCGAACCCTTACAGTGAGAGCCAGCAGCATCCCTGGTGGCCAGGGTCCAGCGCTGAGTGGGGACACTTTATTATCTGATTCCCTCTCCCCAACTTCCCTCTTTATCCACAGCTACCACTATTACCTGAAGACTCTTCCCTCATCTTCTTACATTTCCCCCCATTCTTTGTCCCTCCATCCTTCCCTGTCCCCTCCCTAGCACAGGAGAGGGAAAATGATTGATAGAGAATTATCTCTCAATCTTTTTTCATTAATGGCCCCCTGAGAAGAAAATTTAAATTAAATTTAAATTCTCCCTAAAGGAAAAGACTAAACACTAAGGAATAATATTTGCCGGGTAGGGTGGAGTTTGGAGGGTTACAAACTGTTGGAATGTTGAAGATCTCTTCAGCCCTCCCACACAAATCAATTTACTTCCTTGGCAGTAGCATTCTGTGGAAACTGCCTAGAGCGGTGGGGGGGAGGGGGACCCTCGGGAGTAGATGACTGTTTTCTGCCTCCACACACACCCTCATGGCCACAACCATTGACGTGGCCCAGTGCAGCACCGGAAGCAAGCATGGGAAGGGTTGGAGACCTTAGTCATCTTCAGATCAAGAGGGAAGCCAGTGGTGGCAAAGGTAGGACTCTGCCCCTGGAACTCCCGCTTCCTGGAGAGCCAGAGCTCAGAGTGTGAGTCTCCCAGGGGAGGTGCCTGCTTGGGTGCCCCAATGGTGGTAAGTCCTTGAGGACCATACTTCCTCTTCTAACCAAATTAGAGTGTCTACCTTTCAAGTCACAGAAATAGTAAAATGAAAATGAATCCAAATAAAACAAGAACTCCTGTACACTCACCAAGGGGAAAAG